TATGGTCAACTGAAAATAGCAAGTTCTTCTCTAGAGAATTTATAGAAAGTCTGAAGTAAACAATATGAAGGGCTTTACAAAATTCACAGAAAAATAGAAATACTAACTTTTTGAGGCCCTATAGCATGTCCTTTGTTCTGAAAACAGTCATTCTGATACTGAGAAAATGAGTGACTTCTTAAAAAATATGAGCAGTTTCATGTGGCAATGTTTTACTTAATTATAGCCTAAATATTAGACACAAGATAGGGCATAGGATTGCCCATATAATGGCCTGTGTTGATAAATCTCTTTTATGCTGGTCCACATTTACCACAGTATAACCTCATAGGTTATACTCATATAACCTCATAGAAGAACCTCAGATTTTCACTCTCTTAACTGACCTGTGGATTCCTGGTGAGGGGCTATAGGATAAACACTAGACCGCAAAGTTGATTTGAATCTATACAGTGTCACTATCAGTTGAACCGACTGGATGGCACTTAACAACAAATGAGCTGTATCTTGTAGAGCTATGTTGTTGTTGTTATGTGCCGTGGAGTTGGTTCTGACTCATAGCGACCCTGTAAATCCTTACAGGAGCAGAAAGCCTCATCTTTCTCCCGTGGGACAGCTTGTAGTTTTGAACTGCTGACCTTGTGGTTTGCAGCTCAATTTGTAACCACTATGCTACCAGATACACATTATTTTTATTCGTTATTGGGCTTTGGTTAATATGCTAATAAAAGTTTGCTAAAGTATACATCTTCAGAGCTTCAGAATGGATCCCAGGCAGGGCTTCATGGGCCTGAGCAGTTCCACAGGGCTCAGAGCTCAGGAGTCCGTTTGCTCTAATGCTCTGCTGCCGCCATCTTGAAATTCTCAGTAATCTTACGTTTGATTTTATGTTTTGTGTGTGAAACTGGATGGGGTAATGGAACATGTGTATGAGCAGAAGACAGCACAATGCTTGGTCTTTAGGTTAGTTATCTATATCTGTAGTCACATGGCTGAACTTACTTAGACCTACACTGTGTGGGAGTTCAGGGAGACTCAAAGTGAGCACCAGATTAGTTAGTACTTTTAGTCTACAACTCTGTAAATGGGGACACTGACTGGTCATTCTCTCCATCCTGACCAAAACTTGGTTTGAATGCACAGAGATGCTTTAAAAAATGCCACTAAGGAATCCTATCATAACCAATCTTACTTGTGTTACTTACCAGTATTAGTTCATCTTTTATTCTGACAAAAATGAAAGCTAGGGCAACTCTTGTCTTGTTACTCCTTCCTACCTACCTCATCATTGGGGTAAAGGAGGATGTTGACAGAATATGTACATATGGAGAGTAAAATAACAATAGGTGAGTTAGTTTTGTTCAGTGTTTCCATTGTTCTGGTATAATCAAGAAATATATATACATGAACAAACTACAAACTATGCATTAAACAATAGTAGTAATTCCATACATGCGTTAAATGCCAGGTATGACACTGTAGGGTAAGCGATTCAAACCTACTAGCTGCTCCTTGGAATCTCTGTACAAGGTTGCTCTGAGTTGGAACTGACTTGAAGGCACTTAATAACAACAACATCATCTGCATTTTAAACTGGCATTATATAATAAAAATAAAAGTAATAAAATTCATGCTAATAATTGAAATTTTCAAATTTCCTTTACTTAGAATGAGAATGTATAACAAACAAAAAATATGACAGGTTGAGAGAGACTGTCACAGAATGCAAATGGCTCCACATTTTGTAACCTTTCACAATACTTTTTCGTGCTTTTTGAATAAGTGGCCCAGCATTTTCATTTTGTGCTGACCCTGGTTCCAGTTGTGTTCACAGTACTGATCATTCAGCACATATAGGAGGACTTACAGGGGACTGGGGAGTCCTGGTGTGGCACTAAACTGCAAAGCCTTTTGAATTGCAAGGTAGGCGGTTCAAGCTCACCAGTCACTCCTCGGAAACCCTATACAGGGTTGCTATGGGTCAGAACTGACTCGACAGCACTTAACAATAACAACAAAAACATAGGGGATTGGGTAGCACCCCTATTCTCCTTCCCTCATCTATCATCCCTGGCATCAGGCAGCTGTGAGTGTTGACTCTAGGATACTATACTAAGATTGGAACTTTGAATGTGCACTTTGAGGGGAAAGGGTCTGGGAGGCCTGGCTTCCTTAAGTTCCATCCAGAAAACCATCTTTACTGGTAACTGGTTCTTACGTGGGCCATTTGCATCTTGATGGACTCGCGCATACATAGTTGTTAAGTGCTGTAGAGTCAGTTCCGACTCACAGCGATCCTGTATAGCGTTTTCGAGGAGTGGTTAGTGGGCTTGAACCACCGACCTTGTGGTTCAAGTGGATGAGTGTTTATCCTACAGTGCCACACCACTTCAGAGTACTGTGAGTCATAGTGCTTGTGCCCTCTGTCTGGAGTGAGCCTCTTGCTCTCTAAGGCTGGCCTTTCTCTCAACCCTTTAATCTCAGCCTAAACAGTCTCTCCTCAGATGGCTTTCCCCTGATCTGACCTTTTGTCACACCAATTTTCTACTTAGTTTCTTGATAGAACTTCTTAGTTAGCTTAGGTATTGCGTTCTTCGTCTATGAACCTTATGGAACTTGATACCTGCTGCTTCACATGCTCCTAGCACAGAGAGTGGCTATTTGATAAATGAGTAAATGGAATCAGACACTCAAAACTGAAATTTTTAGGTTATTTAGTGTTTTACCAAACCTAAAACAGCTCAATGGAGCAGTGAATTCCAGATATTAGTTACAACATACTTAAACTAATTTAGGCTTTTGCCAAAACTTGTGAGAACCAGAATGTTTTAGTAAAATGTTAAGGTACCAATTAATTATAAGAGTCTAGGCAGGCACACATGTATATAATTGTAAAAATTAACAGTTTTTAAAACGACAAAATATTTTTAAAACTCCACATTTCTTATTTTCCTATTTCCCCATTTTTCTTATTTTCTACACCTTGTTTCTGGTTTCACTATTAGTACTTTTGCAGAGAGAAATCAAAGAACAAAATGATGGCAAAGTTTTCTCACAGATCACATTTTCATAAAAATATATTTAATAGTTGCTTTTTTAAAATACCTTATTTATGTTGTACCAATTAAATCTTCCCAAGGTATAAGAATAAACATAAATATGTACAATGAGTAACATGCTATAACATACTACATTTCCTTCTTCTTAATTTCTGTACTAAACTGAGTTACTTTAGAGTATAGCATTTACTAATCCCCATTAGCATCAGTAGCCTTAGCTGACATCCACATTAGCCCTCATGAAATTACTGAGACACTTTAAACTGATATTGGATATTATCCTTTGAATTCTTAAAAATATAGTTTTCCCTAAATTCACTTGCTCAAATGGTAGTATATTGTTTTTTGAGTAAATAATTGTTCAACAAAATAAAGACAAGTTCAATGAGTAAAGAAGGTAACATGACAAAAATCACAATGGATTTATATAAAATGGTGCTTTCTTATCTGCAAATGATTGTTTGGTTCAGTATACTTGACTGATGAGTGTCCAGCTAGTCTTAGTTGATATGTAAACTGACAAGCCCATTGCTGAATAGGTCATTCTAATTTCTGCCAAGAAGCTCTTTCTAACAGCAACAGAAATAAAAACTCTCATGCTGAAGTTTGAATCAACACCAGTCATAAGATTAAGCCTAGAGTACTATGGAGATCACAACGAAGAATGTTATCCCCAAACACTCACCACCAGTCTGGACAAAGATGAGTGAGTACGCAGAGGGGAATAATACTACATTGGCCCCCAGGGGAGGGAGCAGATGGGACCTAATAGCTCTTTTCTACTTCTAATTTCTATGATAATTCCAAGTTGCCACATGGCATATGTATATGTGTGTGTGTCTGTGTATATAT